CAGAGGGGGAGACGAACCAGGAGAGATGATGGACTCTGAAAAACAAACTGAGGTTTCTAGCGGGAGGAGGGTAGGGGGTTGGGTTAGCCTGGTGATGGGTATTAAAGAGGGCACATTCTGCATGGAGCACTGGGTGTTATGAACAAACAATGAATCATGGAACACTACACCAAAACAAATTATGTAATATATGCTGATTAACATAACAATAAAAAAATTAAAAGAAAAAAAAAAAGAAGAAAGACCTCAAGAGTAATGTAGACCAGAAATTAACAGAGATAATCTATAGAAACGGGGACTTTAGAGGCAATACAATGACACTAAATTCATATCTTTCAATAGTTACTCTCAATGTGAATGGGCTGAATGCTCCATCAAAAGGCATAAGGTTTCAGATTGGATAAAAAAGCAGGACCCATCCATATGCTATCTACAAAAGACTCATTTTGGACCTAAAGGCACCTCCAGATTGAAAGTAAGGGCATGGAGAACCATTTATTATGCTAGTGGACCTCAAAAGAGAGCTGGGGTAGCAATTCTCATATCAGACAAAGTAGATTTTAAGCCAAACACTGTAGTAAGAGATGTAGAAGGACACTATATCATACTTAAAGGGTCTAGCCAACAAAGAAATATAATAATTGTAATTATCTATGCCCCCAATGCGGGAGCAGCCAACTACATAAACCAACTTTTAACCAAAATAAAGAATCATATTGATAATAATACCTTAGTAGTAGGAGACTTCAACACTCCACTCACAGCATTAGAAAGATCATCTAAGCTGAAGATCAACAAAGAAACAAGAGCTTTGAAGGACACATTGGACCAAATGGACTTCGTACATATATAGAGAACATTCCATCCTAAAACAAAAGAATACTCATTCTTCTCGAGTGCACATGGAACCTTCTCCAGAATAGATCACATACTGGGTCACAAATGAGGTCTCAACCGATACCAAAAGATTGAGATTATTCCCTGCATATCTTCAGACCACAATGCATTGAAACTGGAACTCAACCACAAGGGAAAATTTGGAAGGAATGCAAACATTGGAGGTTAAAAAGCATCCTGCTAAAGAATGAATGGGTCAACCAAGAAATTAAAGAGGAACTTAAAACAAATCATGCAAACCAATGAAAATGAAAACACATAGGTTCAGAACCTACGGGATGCTGCAAAGGCAGTCCTCAGGGGGAAGTACATAGCCATCCAAGCCTCTCTCAAAAAATCAGAAAAATCCCAAATGCACAAGCTAAGCTTATACCTAAAGGATATGGAGAAAGAACAGCAAATAAAGCCTAAACCAAGCAGGAGAATAGAAATAATAAAGATTAGAGCAGAAATCAATGAAATAGAAACTAGAAGAACAGTAGAACAGATCAACGAAATTAGAAGCTGGTTCTTCGAAAGAATTAAAAAGATAAATAAACCTCTGGCCAGACTTATTCAAAAGAAAAGAGAATGGACCCAAATTAATAAAATCATGAATGAAAGGGGAGAAATCACAACCAATACCAAGGAAATAGAGACAATTATTAGAACTTATTACCAGCAGCTATATGCCAACAAACTAGGCAATCTGGAAGAAATGGATGCATTCCTGGACACTTATAAACTACCAAGGCTGAAAGAGGAAGAAATAGACAATCTGAACAGACCAATAGCCAGCAAGGAAATTGAAACAGTAATCAAAAACCTCCTAAAAAACAAGAGTCTAGGGCCAGATGGCTTCCCAGGGGAATTCCACCAAACATTTAAAGAAGAAATCATGCCTATTCTACTGAAGCTGTTCCAAAAAATAGAAACGGAAGTAAAACTTCCAAACTCATTTTATGAGGCCAGCGTTACCATGATCCCAAAACCAGACAAAGACCCCATCAAAAAGGAGAATTACAGACCAATATCCCTGATGAGCATGGATGCCCAAATACTCAACAAGATCCTAGCCATTAGGATCCAACAGTACATTAAAAGAATTATTCACCATGACTAGGTGGAGTTTATTCCTGGGATGCAAGGGTGGTTCAACATTTGCAAATCAATCAACGTGACTGATCACATTAACCAAAGAAGAGACAAGAACCATATGATCCTCTCAATTGATGCAGAAAAAACATTCAACAAAATTCAGCATCCTTTCCTGATTAAAACTCTTCAAAATATATGGATGGAGGGAACATACCTCAATATCATAAAAGCCATCTATAAAAAGCCCACAGCAAATATCATTATCAATGGGGAAAAACCGAGAGCTTTTCCCTTAATGTCAGGAACATGACAGGGATGCCCACTCTCACCACTTTTGTTCAACATAGTACTAGAAGTCCTAGCAACAGCAATCAGACAACAAAAAGAAATGAAAGGCATTGAAATTGGCAAAGAAGAAGTCAAACTATCTCTCTTCACAGATGACATGATACTTTATGTGGAAAAACCCGATAGACTCCACTGCCAAATTACTAGAACTCATACAGCAATTCAGCAAAAGGGCAGGATACAAAATCAATGCACAGAAATCAGTTGCATTTCTGTACACTAACAATGTGACTGAAGAAAGAGAAATTAAGGAATCGATTCCATTTAAAATAACACCAAAAACCATAAGATACCTAGGAATAAACCTAACCAAAGAGGTAAAGGATCTATACTCTAGAAACTACAGAACACTTATGAAAGAAATTGAGGAAGCCACAAAGAGATGGAAAAACATTCCAAGCTCATGGATTGGAAGAATGAACATTGTGAAACTGTCCATGCTGCCCAGAGCAATCTACACTTTCAAAGCAATCCCTATCAAATTACCATCGACATTTTTCACAGAACTGAAACAAACAATCCTAGAATTTGTATGGAACCAGAAAAGACCCCGAATCACCAGGGGATTGTTGAAAAAGAAAACCAAAGCTGGGGGCAGCACAATGCCTGATTTCAAGCTATATTACAAAGCTGTGATCATCAAGACAGCATGGTATTGGCATAAAAACAGACGCATAGATCAATGGAAAAGAATAGAGATCCCAGAAATGGACCCTCAACTCTATGGTCAACTAATCTTCGACAGATCAGGAAAGAATATTCAATGGAAAGAAGACAGTCTCTTCAATAAATGGTGCTGGGAAAATTGGACAGCCACATGCAGAAGAATGAAACTGGACCATTTTCTTACACCATACACAAAGATAAACTCAAAATGGATGAAAGACCTAAATGTGAGCAGGAATCCATCAAAATCCTAGAGGAGAATGAAAGCAGTAACCTCTTCGACATTGGCCATGGCTGCTTCTTTCACGACATATCGCTAAAGGCAAGGGAAATAAAAGCAAAAATGAACTTTTGGGATTTCATCAAGATTAAAAGCTTTTGCACACAAAGGAAACAATCAACAAAACTAAGAGGCAACTGACAGAATGGGAGAAGAGATTTGCAAATGACATTACAGATAAAGGGCTTGTACCCAAGATTTATAAAGAACTTATCAAACTCAACACCCAAAAAGCAAATAATCCAGTCAGTAAACGGGCAGAAGACATGAATAGACACTTCTCCAAAGAAGACATACAAATGTCTAACAGACACAAGAATAAATGTTCAACATTAGTAGCCATCAGGGAAATACAAATCAAAACCACATTGAGATACCACCTTACACCAGTCAGAATGGCAAAAATTAACAAGACAGGAAACAACAAGTATTGGCAGGATGTGGAGAAAGGGGAACCCTCTTACCTTGTTGCTGGGAATGCAAACTGGTGCAGCCACTCTGGAAAACAGTATGGCGGTTCCTCAGGATGTTAAAAATAGAGCTACCCTATGGCCCAACAATTGCACTACTGGGTATTTACCCCAAAGATACAGATGTAGTGAAAAGAAGGGTCACATGCACCCCAATGTTCATAGCAGCAATGTCCACAATAGCCAAATTGTGGAAGGAGCCGAGATGCCCTTCAACAGATGAATGGATAAAGAAGATGTGGTTCATATATACAATGGAATATTACTCAGCCATTAGAAAGGATGAATACCTACCATTTGCATCCACATGGAGGGAACTGGAGGGGATTATGCTAGGTAAAATCAGTCAAACAGAGAAAGACAATTATTATATGGTTTCACTTATATGTGGAACATAAGGAATAGGGTGGAGGCCCACAGGGGAAGGGAGGGAAAACTGAATGGGAAGAAATCAGAGAGGGAGACAAACCATGAGAGACTCTGGAATCTGGGAACCAAACTGAGGGCTACAGAAGGGAGTGCAGTAGGGGGATAGGGTAACTGGGTGATGGGTATTAAGGAGGGCAGGTGTGGTGATGAGCAACTAATGAATCGTTGAACACTACATCAAAAGCTAATGAAGTATTATTGTTATACGCAACTAATGAATCATTGAACACTACATCAAAAGCTAATGAAGTATTATATGTTGGCCAATTGAACATAATAAAAACAAGTTCATGACATTACTGGAAACATGAGTATCAGTCTTCATGTTCCTTCAACACAGACTAATTCTAATTAGATGACATAAAATTGGATTGAAAAATACTCCTATTTACACTTTCGTTCCTATTCCAAATTCCACTATTGATTGGTTTAAAATTGTTTTTTGAAACACTCGTGCGTATGACTTATTTTATAAATAACTTTCTTTGACATACCAACCTTTTTTTTAACAACCGCTCTGCAATATTCATCCCTTCATGCATGCCTACAAATTACTTTTCATTCATACATGTAATGTTTCACCTAAATACTCATGATCTGTTGTTATACCTCTGCTGTTCAACAGTGTGTTTAGCGTTTTTCCTTTCCAAGCACCTGTTGATGGTTCTATCCGGTTCCTACCATACTTCCCAATCACTGTTTCAGATACTAGTCTTTTTGGTACTTCTTTTCCATTAGGCAGCTTGCTCTTTGGATAGACCCCCACTGCCCACCGTGTCAGCATATCAGCATGGAGTACTGAGTCCCCTGTCTCTCTGCCAGGTCACACTCACCCCTCATCACAAACGAAGGACACTTTTGCCCCAAGCTGGAAATTCAGTGGAAAGAGCACACGGCCATTAGGGAGTTGGTCCAGGAAGTCCACACATGATTTCACTAGGAAAACCACCACAAGGAAAACAGAAGTAAGACTGCCGGGTGAGGACCAAAAAGATGGATCTGCAAACAGATGAAAGTGGAGGCACCTGCACATCTCGGGACTGCTGGGCTCCAGTCTCCCTGGGGAGTGCAGCGCAGAGAAGCAGCCCCTCGGAGATCATAGCCGGACTCGCAGCTGTAGAACACTTCGTGCCCGGGGAAGAAATTGGTCTCGTTGCCTGCGGCACGCTTACCGTGCACAATTTCTGGAGGCGGCTGACATACTGTGGAGAGAACAGGTGCCAAGTACCAGTCAGTTATGGGGAAGTGTCTTTTGCTACATTCTAACCCTTCCGAGGAGTTATAGACTCATCATTCAAGGGGAGTTCAGGTGTAACAAAGGAAACCAAATGATACTCCCGCCCCTCCTTTTACTGTTATAGAAGTTCAGAATACGGAAGGGAGGTAGCCAAAGGTCTCACAACTAGTAAGAGGCCGATAATTCAAACTGAGTTCTTCCCGGCGCTAGGTCAAATGTATGGCCAGGCCCCCGGGGGTGCTTTCTTTAGTGCTGGCTAGTCAATATGGAATTATTAGCCCTATTGTAAAGCATTTCCATGAAGAGTAAATGAGATAAGTCATTTAGAGTGCTTATTGCCCAGCTGACTAAAGAGTGCACCTCAGTTTTCAGGATATCTGAGAGATACTGAAGCTGGTATTTTGCCTTGAGGATTGCTCAGTATGAGAGTCCCAAATGTCTCCTTCCTTGATTGATTAAGCTCCTGCTTTCAAAATGAAGGCACATATACTTAAGTGCACACTCACGCGCACATGTACAAACAAACACACACACACATACACACACACTTTCTTAATTTCATGCTTCATCCTCCCACATTGACTGCATGGATCACCATGCATTCTTCTCCCAGAACAAACACTGATCTCCTGATCCTCTTGCAACCCATGCCCTTTGTTGGTCCCTTCAAAGCCTCAGTCAGACTCACCCCTAGAACAGCTTGGCAACTCTGGCCCCCATTTGTTTTGGGCTTGGCATTGCACACTGGAGGGTCCTTTAATGACAAAGCCGGGCTCACAGATAAACCTCACAAATTCATGTAAGGAAAATAAGTTTTTGTTCTCAGATACCCTTATTGCATTTTCAATGTCTGGAGGTGTGCATTTATTAGGTATGATGCACTGAGGGGGGGCGCTGCTCCATATGCCAACGCGATTGTCTTTGCTGGTGCAGTATATTGATGAGTTGCCCACAAGCTCAAACAGCTTTTTCCCTCTCTGTCCAAGATGGCAGCGATAGTTCACCACGGTTCCATATGGAAAAAATTCTCTGCTGGTGCTAAAGAAATTTCCATTGGCGATGGCTGGGGGTGGCCCACAAGGAATAGCTGGGAAAAGAGATGGCAACTTAAATAATAGTGAGTCAAAATAACTAGTCAGAGAAATACAATGAGCATCACTATTTTTACATTTGTTATTGGTTTTTAATCTTTGTTAACATGCAGACACATTTTTACAAGGTTGTGATTTTGGTGGGCATAACAGCATGCCCTCTGCCTTTCCTGCTTATATTATTTCCTATGAGCTTTTTTTAAAATCAATCCCCATTCCTTTCATCTTAGATAGCTCTTTGATCATATTATCACACCATAGTGTACACAGTTTTCCCCTACTCTTTTCCATTGGCCTTCTTAATTTACATTTTGTTATTAGCTCAGGATAGCTTTCAAAAGATAAAAAGACCCTTGCTAAAAGAAAAATGGAAGGGGAGAGAAACAACACAGATACACTAGAGTAGGAAATAGAATTCAAACATATTTGCATATGTATAAGAAAATTATATGAAACTGTAGACTATATACGTAATGTTAAACATTTTGAAAATCTAAATGATATGAATGGAAATAGAAATTACCAATATTCATTCAAGAAAATATAGAAAGCTAGAATGGACGAAGAAACTTGTCGGAATAGAAAAAATCTTTTACATAAAATTCTATCAAGTCACTTCCAGGTAATACACACTTCCAAATGAAATTTCAAATGTTTCACGAGATGTAGAAGACAGAAAACTTACCAACTCATTTTATCAAGCTGATGTTTAATATCACAACGTGATACCCATGTAGAAGTGATCATATATTAGTCCACAAAACACCCTCAATACTTTTGAAAATGTAGAAGGAGGACATAGCACACTATATTACTATAATACTATATAACTAGAACTAAGGAACTTTATCTAAAATTCCAAAACACTTGAAATTAAAAATAAGATTTCTTGGGGCTCCTGGGTGACTCAGCCAGCTAAGCATCCAACTCTGGGTTTCCACTTGGGTCATGATCTCAGGGTCCTGGGATTGAACCCCACGTTGTGCTCCGTGCTCAGCGGGGAGTCTGCTTGAGGATTCTCTCTCCCTCCGCACTCTCTCTCCACCCCCACTCGCTCTCTCCTTAAAAAGTAAATCAATCAGGGGCACCTGGGTGGTCAGTCATTAAACATCTGCCTTCGGCTGGGGTCGTGATCCCCAGGTCCTGGGATCGATCCCCGCGTCAGGCTCCCTGCTCCGCAGGAAGCCTGCTTCTCCCACTCCCACTCCCCCTGCTTGTGTTCCCTCTCTTGCTGTCTCTCTCTGTCAAATAAATAAATCAAATCTTTAAAAAAATAATAAAAAAAGAAAAAATCAATCTTTAAAACAATAAATGAAAATAAAAATTCTTAAGAAGGCTTCTCCTTCCGGTAAGGGTAATCTTAATAATTTAAATCAGACATCAGCCTACCCCCATTTCCTCCCCCCCAAGAAAGACTATAGATGCTAGATAAATTATAAAATGTATCTGTGAGTACATTAGAAAGCTAATAAACTAGGGACGCATTACTGGACCATGATCTGACAGGAGATAAAAATCCAGGTGAGAGTCAGGCATGTAGGCTGCTTTTCTGCTGGAAGGTGAGCTGAACCAGGAGGGGGCATCTGAGTGGCGAGTAGACTTTTGATCATCTCATGGAGTCAAGGAACAAAAACTGGAGTCCAGGTCTTGCAATGTGGAAGCTGTGCTAACACCTTCGGATGCGTCCTGGGACCCCAAAGCCATGGGGCCTGGGACTCAAGATTACTGCAGTTGTTCTGCAAGTACTGTAGGTGGCCCGGAAAAATAACAGTGTCTGAAACTGAATGAAAGTGGTCCCACATTGCGCGTGTCCCCAAGTTTCTGAAGAAATAACAAGAATCCTTTCTGAAGAAGGTTTGTCATCTAAGACCTTGAATTCATTTCTGCAGAAAGGTTTTCCAATAAAATTCCACACATACAACGAAGGATCACACGGTACTCAAAAGAGATAAAAATCACATGAAGAAGAGTCAGCAGAATCACTGACAATAGAAACTGAACCCTCAGGGCCCCAGATATTGGAGTTTTTGCTCATAGATGTAAAATTGATTTTTTTAAAAGATTTCATTTATTTATTTGACAGAGAGAGACACAAGCGAGAGAGGAAACACAAGCAGGGGGAGTGGGAGAGGGAGTTATGTTTCTCTCTTCAAGGACAAAATATACAAAAACTAAATTTTTGGTGAGAACTAGAAACAATTAAAAACAACAGGGCAAATTTTGAAAGGAACCAAATACAAGTTTTTATCATTGTAAAGCACAGTTACTGAAATTAAGAACCTGATAGAATTAACAGCAGGTCAGACACAGTTTAATAAAAATCAATGAATTGGAGCTAAGACAGAAGGAAATACCCAGAATAAAACACAGAGAGACAAAAGAATCAGAAATACAGTAAAAAGAGCAATAGACTTACAGGATAGAAGGACCAGGCCTCCCCCGTGTGTAAGTGAATTCCCACAATGAGCAGAGGGAGAAATCCGAGCATGAACATTTGAAGTAATGAATGAAAATTTTCCAAAACCGATGAAAGACATCGTTGAACCACGGAGTCAAGAAACCATACAAACTCGAGCAGTACAAATACAAAAACAAACAAACAAACAAACAAACAAACTTTACCCAGGCACATCATAGTATTATTGTAAAAAATCCAAGAGCAATCAATTTGGGAAAAGCAGCCAGAAAAAGAGATGATAACTTTTAAAGAAGCCATTACTTAGAAAAATGTTTAAAGAATCTATCGCCAGAGGACCTACAATACAAAAATGCTAAAGGATCATTTTTTTAGATTGAAGGAAAATAGTGTTATAAAGAACCGATAGAACTGCAATTATGGAGGACGTATAACGGAAATAGTTAACATGTGGATAAGTATAAATAAATACTATTTTTATAAAAACAACAATAGTGTCTTTTGAGATACATATAAAAGTACAAAAATTAACACAGTGAAGGAGAAACAGGATATGATCATCTCAGTAGATCCACAGTGATAAATCAGAATACACATTCATGATAAATCTTTTAGCAAGTTAAGTATAAAAGGGAATTTCCTTAATCAGATAAAGAATATCTCCCAAAAAACCTTCAGTAAACAGCACAATTTGTATTGACTATTAAAAACTCATTATCAAGGGCGCCTGGGAGGCTCAGTCGGTTAAGCGTCTGCCTTCATTCAGCTCAGGTCATGATCCCAGGGTCCTGGGATCGAGCCCCACATCAGGCTCCCTGCTCAGGAGAGAGCCTGCTTCTCCCTCTCCCTCTGCCACTCCCCCTGCTTGTGTTCTCTCTCTCTCTCTCTCAAATAAATAAATACTTATAAAAAACCTCATTATCATCACTTCCATCCAACATTATACTGGAGGTTCTAGCCAATGCAGCCAAGCAAGAGAAATAAATGAAAGATACAAGAAAAAAAAGGATTAAAACATAGGATAATTATTTATCAATGACATGATTATGCAGCATATCCAAAAGAATATACGGATAAACTATTGCTTTTATGAGGAAATTTTGCAAGATCACTGGATCCAAGGTGAAAGGATTGCATATTTAAGAAACAATTAGGAAATGTTACATTCTCCAATATTACATTTCCATGTTTACATTATTTTCTATAATGTAAATTGGCAAATAGTATTGAGAGAAATTAAAGAAGATTTCAAAAATGGGGAAATATATCATGTTCATGAATTTAAAACTCAAAAATGGAAATATGGTAATGGCCCACAAATGGACCTACTGACTCAATAGAAAGCCAGTCCAAATTTGAGTAGGATTGTTTGTGTGGAGACTGACAGGCTGATTCTCAATTTTATCTGGAAATGTGAAGGGCCAAAAATCACCAAGTAAATCTTGGAAGAAGTGCATGGTTAGAGGCTATACCACCGGATATCAACTCTTAATATAATGCTACGGTAATGAAGACAGTGTGATAAATCACCAGTGGAACAGAACGTCTCTGAAATGAGACCCACATATACTGTCACCTGATTTATGGGTGTTATACGATTACACTGTGATATACAAGAAATGGTTTTTCTTAAATGGTTTTTTTAAATAAATGATATCATAACAGCAAAGTTATGATTATTCATCAACCAATTCCCAGACTTGAGGGCCCATGGATATAGATCCAGGGCAGCTCAAATAAATAGGAGCTGGGATCTTCTTGAGAAAGCGGGCTGCTACACAGACAAAATGCGTACCAAGTTTCCTCCCACCTTCCCCAAAGAGGCTTGAAGCCGTTCACTGAAGATTAGATAGAGGAGGGGTTACAAAATTAGAAAGATGAAAATATAGGAGTAGGTATAGGTGTCTTATCTTTAAAGAGATCCAGCCAGAGTACTGTTTTGTCATCTAATTTTTTCACATAAAAGTATATAATTAACATCTTTATATGTCATTAATTGCATCTCTATGACATCATGGTTTTTTTTTTTTTGTCTTTTTTAGCTGAATAACATTCCACTGTATGGGTGCATTTCCTTTCCTTCCTCCTCTTCTTCCTCTTCTTCTTCTCCTTGTCCTTTTTTTCTTCCTCTTCTCCTCCTCCCTCGCCTCCTCCTTCCCCTCCACCTCCTCCTCTTCTTTTTTAAGTAGGCTCCTCGCCCCACATGGAGCCCAACATGGCGCTCAAACTCACAACCTTGAGATCAAGATCTGAGCTGAGATCAAGAGTCAGACACTTAACAGACTGAGCCACCCAGGTGCCCCTGGATGTATTTCTTCTAATTCTGCATGGCTTTGTTTTTGTTTCTTAGGGAATTCTCTGTAGTCATTTTTAACATGACTCTTTCTTTCTGGTACTTTCCAAACCATAGTTGGAAACATTTAGGTTACTTTAACATTGTTGCTACTATAAAGAATGAAGCAATGAAAAGTTTATAGTGAACTCCTAGTAAAAATCTGTGTTTATTTCCCAAGTATAAGTTGCAAGAAGTGGGTCAACATATACATGCCCATTTTCAGGCTTATGGTACATGGTGTCTTCCAAGAGGTTTTGTGGAACTCTAAGTATGTACAAGTGTTGATTCATTAACAGCTTCACCAACCTTTGAGAGTATCACCTTAAAAAAATCTTGACTGATTTGCCAAGCAGAATGATTATTATACTGGGGGTGGCACAATCAACATCATTCTGAATTAATCGAAGGAAAACTAAAGTTTGAAGGCTTTTATGCATTTAAGTCTCCAGATTCAGAAAAGGCACAAGATAAGGAAAAACCTAAGGAAACAGTTGCCAGAAACCCCATAGGTATTGAGGGATAGAATGCACAAAAGGAATTCAATTAAGGTCTGTAGAACTTTAGGGGAAAACTTAGACTCTATTGGTAAAGGTAATAGGAAAGGATATTTCAACTCACTCTCACAAATAGGTGGATTGTTATCCCAGACGACAGTATTGTCTGAGATGATGCATGCAATCGAGGTCTTACCGATAAGACGGTATCTAGAGGGGAAGAAGAATGAATGTTATTTTCCCTTTTCATTTTCCTACTTAAATTGCTACTTACAAGAGTTTGCAGTCTTGGAGAATTCAGAAGGACAATTTCCTTTTGTCATCGTACTATCTCTTTCCCAAATTGTATGTCTTTATTTGGGCTTCAATTTTTTTCTTCATGGCTTCTAAGCTGAATGGGCTCTCTCCTCTTTATTACTTTAAGCTACGTTTTTGTTTAAACCTAAAGTGTTTACAATTCATCAAACTAGAACCAAAGGAAATCCAAGCAGAAGGAAAAAGTTGAACACAGATTTCATATTTAAAATGTTAAAGGCAGAAATTCTCACTTCATTCCCCATTCATAACGTCTCGTAAACCTACTGTAGAATATTAAAACCAGGATATCGACATAGGTATGAGTCACCAATTTTATTCCAACTTCCTCAGTTTTGTTTGTACTAAATTGTGTGTGTAGGTAAGTGTACTTACATCTATTCAATTTTTTATACAGGCTATTTTTAAGAGCAGTTTTAGGTTCACAGTAATATTGGCCAGAAGATAACAGGGATTTACCACATTACTCCCTTTCCCTAGACATGCATACCTTCCCACATTATCAACACCCCCCACCAGAGTGGTAGAGTTGGTTGCAACTGATGAACCTACACTGACACATCATTATCACCTATAGTCCATAGTTTACATTAAGGTTCACTCTTGGTGTTGTACACTCTATGGGTTTGGACAAATATGTAAGGACATGTATCCACCCTTACGGTATCTATCACACAGAGTAGTTTCACTGCCCTCAACATCTCTGAGCTCTGCCTATTCCTCTCTCCTTCCTCCCAACCTCCGGCAACTACCAATCTTTTTAATATGTATTTTCTTTTCCAGAATGCCACCTTCCTGGAATCATACAGTATTTAGCCTTTTCAGATTGGATTCTTTCATTTAGTAAAATGTTTTTACATTTCTTCCATGTCTTTCCATGGCTTGATAGCTCATTTCTGTTTTCCAGAGTGGTTTTACCATTTTATGTTCCTATCAGCAATGAATGAGTGATCCAGTTCCTCTACATCTATGCTAGCATTTGATGTTTTCACTAGGCTGTACTTTAGCAACTCAGATATGTGTGTACTATTGTTCTATTGTTGTTTTAATGTGCATTTTCCTAATGACTAATGCAGCTGAATATCTTTTCATGTACTTACTTTCCATCGATATATTCTCTTCAGTGAAATGTCTGTTCATGTACATATCGGGTTCAATAGTGTGCCTCCAAATTTCTGTCCTGAAACCTTAGGATCTGACTTCTTTTGGAAATAAGGTCTTGGCAGATATAACAGAGTTAAGGTGAGGTCCTGCCAGATTAGCCCGGGTCCTAATCCAATGACTGGTGTCCTCAGAAGAAGAAGGAAATTTGGACAAGGAGACAGACAGAGGGAAGACAATGTTAACACATACAGAGGCAAAGCCATGTGAGAACAGAGGCAGAGATGGAAGTGATGCGTTTATAGCCAAGGGATGCCAAGGACAGCTGGCAACCACCAGAAGCGAGGAGAAAAGCATGAAATGGATTCTTCCTCAGAGCTCCCAGTGGAACCAACCTGCTGACACCTTGATTTCAGACTTGTTCAATTCTATTCCTAACTTGCTATGAGTTTGTGTCATGAACTGGTTGGTATTGGATTTTGCCAACTGCATTTTCTGAGTCAATTGATAGGAGCATATACATTGTCTTCTTTAGCCTGTTTCTAGAGTTGATCATGTTGATTGATTTTTGAATGTTGAATCCATCTTGCATACCTGGAGTAATTTCCACTGTGGTCATTGGATGCAGTTCTTTTAATGCATTGTTGGGCTTGATTTGCTAATATTTTATAGATGCTAAAAAAATCTTCAATAAACTATAGAAATCAAGTCCAGCAGTATATAAAAAGGATCATACACAATGACCAACTGGGATTTATTCCAGGTATGCAATTACTAATTTTACAGAGACAGAATTCACAGTTAGTAAGTTCTTTTCTTTCTACTTGAACTAGGTGGGCCACTTCCTTCTGGTCTCCATACTTTCAGATAATAAATCCACCACCATTCATATTGTGTTCCCCTATAAGCAGCATGTCCTTTCTCTCTGGTTGCCTCTAAGATTTTTTTCAAGGGAAATTGTAATTACTTACTGAAGCTATTTTATGATGGCTGCTTTAAAATCTTCGTTAGAGAGTTCCAACATCTCCTTCCTCTTGGTACTGGCATCAGTGGATTATCTTTTCTCAGTCGAGTTGTGATTTCCCTGGTTCTTGATGTGACGTGATTTTCTATTGTATCTATTGTATCTATCGGATATGATGTTAAGTCACTCTTGATCTTATTTAAATCTGTTTTAGCGTGTAACCACCCTCTTTAGGCTAGTGTGTAGATTCTAGCCTACTTTTGTGGGCTTTGGTTCCAATGACCATTTAATTTTCCACTCTTGCAGTGCTATTCTGGTGCTTCATTCTCATGGCTCCACTTAAATTCCCAATGCATCCCTGCTAATGCTGCCTGTAGACAGTGGAGATGCTTCCTTGAACTGCCTGGTGTCAGTAGTGAGGAATGGGAGATGTTGGGACTTTCGATGGAGAGTAACCTCTCTGGCCTCCTCTGGCTATCTGGGGAGGGTGGAGTTCCCCCTTCATTTGTGTTGTTGCCACCAGGCATGGGAAGCATCTATCTGGCTGCATTTTGCTGCTGGGCATAGAACCAGGAAACATGGGTGTGGGAGGCTGTCTCCTACTGGATGGAGGATCCAGAAACTCTGAACATGGTTTCCCTTCTGCTGCTGGGTTGGTGGCTCCCTGCCATGGGCGTAGGGTCAAGAGACGTTGGGCCTGCAATGTGTTCTTCTGCTGTGTGGAGGGCTGGGACACTGGGTCTTCTGGCATCCATGGTGTGAGTGGAAGGGCCCTCTTACTGCTGGCTTGAAGCCTAGGTGTCACCACCCGAGCTCTGTTGACACTGTCACTGCAGGCAGAATAGGGCCCCCTGCTGCTGGCTAGTATGCGGCAGGAGGTAAAATTGTCATTGAGACTAAAGTCCAGGTCCTCCCATTGATACAACTGTTGGTGGACTGGGACCTGCTGCTTCCCAGGGCTGTGGACATGAGAAGAATAGACTCCCAGTCCCCACCCCTGATTTCTGCTTATGCTGTTCATGTGGGTAGATTGGGCCACTAGAGCCATCAATGTGTCTTCCCAATACATCCTCACTGCGCTACCCTATTCCCAGTCCTATGACCAGAGAATAGGCTTCTCTCTTCCTCTGTCTCTGCTGCTTGTTGACTATTCGGGGTTGCATTCCTTTCCAGCACCCAGTCTGAGAGATAAAAAGAAAATCCAGGGACCTCACTACTGTGTCATTCTTTAAGTTCTGTGGACCCCCAGTCCATCTTCTTTCCACATTTCCAAGTCCTTTTATGCTTGCATGTTGAATAGTTTCTAGGGTATTTAGTTACATGTAGAGAGAGACTCAGGGAAAAGTGAGTCTGCCCATCTTGTCCTGGAACTGGAAGTTCTAGTAATACCTCTTTGAACTGTGATTACAAAAGTTAATACGTTTACACTGTAGTCAAAAGTGAGAGGTACAGAGACTCCCAGTAACAAAAAACAAAATTACCCAAACTCTACCTTACAGAAATTAGCCTAGTTCTAGTTTAGGGCAGGACTTCTCAAAAGTTTTATGTGCATCGAAATCACCTGGGGATCATGTGAAAATGCAGTTCTGATTCAGTAGGTGTGAAGATTCTGCAGTTCTAACAAGCGCCCAGGAGATGCTGACCTTGCTGGTCTGTGAGCCATACTTTGGGTGACTGGGGCTTAGAGTCCATCTTACAGTCTTTTGTGTAAAGAGATATTACATATAACAAGGACAGCAGCTGCCCTTCTCCTAAATAGATTAATTTTTCTATACTTGTCTGTTCAGTTGGAAATTATATTTAAAAATTATTATCCTACTGGGTTAAATCCATTAAGATACATATGAACTTGTTTTCTTCATTTTTTAGGTCAAGATTGAGTCATTTGACTACAATTTTTTCCCTTAACTTCTAGCTTTCTATATTTATTACACAAATTCATAAATAAATGTGATTACAGAAATTCAATGTACAATTGAATATATTTGGAAATTCAAATTTGTTAAAATTTTCTTACATCATGTATTGCATGGAGGGAGATAAATGTAGTGATTAACTTTAGAATTTTTAAAGTATACAAGTTAAAATTTCCAGGGTAACTTCTAAACTAATAGAAATAGAGACCCTAATTTCTAAACTAGTGAAGGAAATAATGGAAAAAGAATATAAAACCTAAACAACACCAAAGTGAAGGAAGTGTGAAAACATAAATATAGTATAAATAGAAAACACAAAATAAGACAGTAGACATTAATTTTAAATATTAGTAGCTACATTAAAAGCAAATGGATTAAACTCTTTAGTTCTAAGGCAGAGATTATCAAAGTGGATTAAGAAAATCTAACTAGAAGTTGTTTATCAGAGACTCACCTAACACATATTGATACAGCAAAGTAAAAAGATTTAAATAGAGTGGGTAAATAATAAAAAAGCAATGCAGTTATATTAAATATATAATAGGACTCTAAGTGTACACAAAAAAGACTGTTGAAACGACTGTTCTTTCACCATTGGATTGTCCTGGCACCCTTCGCTGAAAAAGAGTTGATCATAAATGTATGGCTTTACTTCTGGATTCTCAATTCTATTCTATTGATCTATACATCTGTCCTTACGCCAGTAACACACACTCTTCATGGCTCTACGTTTAGAGTAAGGTTTGAAAGTGAGAATTCTTCTTTTTCAAGATTGTTTTGACTGTATGGGTGCCTTGCATTGTCATAAGAATTTTAGGATCAGCTTGTTGATTTCTGCCAAAGGATGCTAGAATTTTATAGGCATTGTATTAAATCTGCACATCACTTTGGTGAGATCAATATTCTATAATTCTATAATATTCAATATTGTTGCAATGTCAACAATATTAAGTCATCCAATCTCGGAATATGGGATGTGTTTCCATTTATTTAGATCCTCTTTGACTTTGTTTTCAACAATGTTTCATAATCTTCAGTGTATAATCTTACATTTCTTTGGTTCAGTTTATTTTGAAGTTATTGTATTCTTTTTGATGTTATTGTAAGGGGAATTGTTTTCTTAATTCATTCTCAGAGTGTTCATTGTTAGTGTATAGAAATGCAATTTAATCTTGAATATTGATCTGGTATCCTGAATCTTGCTGAACTATCTATTAGCTGTAATGGGTTTTATGGTGTGTGTGTGTGTGTGTGTGTGTGTGTGTGTGTGTGCATTCCTTAGGATTTTCTATAAAAAACACATTATTTGCAAACAGAGATTGTTTTACTTCTTCCTTCCAATTTGGATGCCTTTTGTTTCTTTTTCATGATGAATTGTCCTGGCTTGAACCTGCAGTACAATGTCAATTAGAAATGGTGAGAAGTTTTTGATACTTTAATTTATATAAATGTGTGTGTGATGTGTATGTGTGGGAGTGTGTATATATATTGTAAAATATATTTCTTAGCTGTGGATCATAGCAAAATTAGTGTGAAAACCACTGTCCTAGAGAAAGTTTTTCACATGGGCACTAGGAGACATGTGTATTTATATTGAGAATGCTTATGATAGCCAAAACAAAACACAGTAAAAGAAATGAGAAACAGTCCAAATATAACAACCAAGAAAAAGTAAATTGTGGTATATCCATTCAAGGAAATGCTATCCCAAGCAAAAATGAATTAACCATAGCCACATGAATAATTGTCAGAAACAAAATGTTCCATAGAAAAGCAAGTTGCCGAGAAGTGCATATAATCTCATGCCATTTATATAAAGCTCAAAATATGTAAAGCTAAATCTAAACTGAGTAGGACTATTTGTGGGAGAAAATGGAAAACAAATGCAAGGGAGTGAAGGACACAGAATTCAGGATGGTGATTTCCAGAGAGATTCTGGAGGTGGAGGAATGGGAACTGGGAAAGGCACATAGGAGGCTTCTAAGGTACTAGCAGTGTTTCCTAAGGTAGATAGCATATACACTGAAGTTCACTTTATTGCTATTCCTGTTTTTAATGATCACTTATTTATATTATATGTCTTTTAAGTAAGCCATAAAGAATAAAAACAAAGCAAAATTAAGGTATAAGGTAAAGCAGTCTCCCTACTTCTTTCCTGAATTGGTTATCTCCCTTAAGGATAAGCCAACAATATGCCCACAGCAAATTTCTGCACTGTGTGCATTTCTGGAGAGGGGCTATAACAATCAAGATTTGCCTCTCCACCACCTTGGCTCCATCATCCTAAACAAGTCATTCTTTCTCACTCTGAGTCTAACATCTCCAGTTCTTGTTGCTTTGGGGTAAGAATATATGCGCAGATCCACTAATGTTTGTTCCATTTGCTTCTTTAGAGAGCTGGTCCTTCCTATTTTAGGTTTTAGGTGCATTAATTTGGTGTGCAATAGGTATCCTTCCTCCACATCCCCAAATTTCTGGCACAGATAAAGGTTTTTCCTATTTTTCAAATATTTGTGTAGTCATTTCAAATGTAGCTAAATACCTGAATTCAAGCCATCACCTCTACTTAGAAATCTTATTGCTGTGTTTTGAATGGACAGGTAGATTTTCTAAGACTCTTGTTTAAGGATTGGTGCCACAATTCTGGAACTGTCATCCCAAGTGATGCTGCTGCCAACTCACCCTTCATTACAGGCATAATTAACGGTTGATCCAAACCGGGTGTCTCTGTTGACAGTCATTTTGCCATTTAAGGGTTCTGCAGGAGTTCCACATGATTTACCTATAGGAGAGAAGGAGACTTTGGGGACTGAGTATAGAACACCCCGAACTTCTCTCAGTAAGTACATAAGGCCCCAACCTAGCTGGAGCTTACTCAAAAGCATTTGTCGTTCCACAGATTTTGCCACCTTGAAGAAACTTACAAGACTGCCTCAGGGTCAGCCACTTACTAAGCTTGCCTTTCAAAAAAGACCACCCCTCCAAATCTATCTGATCCTGGTATTGTGTCTCCCAGATAAATGTAGACTTCACTTATTACCAAAGTGATTCTTTTGTCATTCAACCATTGTAAGTCAAAGATCTCAAAGTCTGGGATTCTCTTCCCACCTACACTTTTCTTCCCTCTTCCGAGTCATATGACCTAGTTTCAGTGGTGACAATGGGAAACCCCTACTGAATAGAGATTTTCCCTGCATTGTGCCTTGTGATGGTCATTTCTCATGAAATGGACTTGTAATGAAGGTGCCAGCAAGACAGAGGGGTAGGAAGATGTGACAGAAAGAATCACTCACATGTGCTCATAGGTGTCTTAGTTCCAAGATCTGAACAATTGAATCAGCTCTTATGGATGTTTGATTGACACAGAAGAGTTCTCTGTCCAGAGGTACTTACGTTGACAGATGTCGTCAGCGTTTGACCAGACTGAGTTGGATAGGCAGGTAATATAGAATACTTTCCTGTGGTAACCAGGGCGGCACTCATACTTCAAAGATGTCCCAATGGGAAACTCATACTCGTTGGTCAGAATTGTAAGCTTGGCAAATGGAAGCTGTTCCGGGGCTTTGCACTGACCTGGAGGCCAAGACCACAGTGACATCCAAGTTAAGGGAGAAACTTCTATTCTCCTTCCTCTTTTTCTCCAGTATGCTTCACAGATGTGATCAAAGAAAAAGAACACTTTAACAATGTTAAAATAATTGCTTCTCTTAGTAATGATCTTAGAAATGAGCTTTTGATTTTATTGTTCAGCTTTATTCCTTTGTTTTGAGAGAGGGAGAGAGCGCGCATAAGTGGGATGAGGGGCAGAGGGAAAGAGAGAGAATCTCAAGCAGACTCCCCACTGAGTGCAGAGCCCAATGCAGAGCTTGATCCCAGGACCCTGAAATCATGACATGAGCTGCAGTCAGCCACTTAACCAACTGAGCCACCCAGGTGACCCTGTCCACAATTCTTAACAATGGGATGTGGAGCACTGCTCAACTTCTCAAACCTTAGAATTGAATTGTAAACCAACACCTCATTTCTTATTCTACAGTAATTTTCGTTTGAGACTTTATCACAGTCACTGCTAAAAACCCAGTTTTGCAAAGATTTGTTGTCCTCAAGAGGAACCTACTGAAAAAAAAAATAAAAGGAATCTCTTGCAATCGAATGTAGCCAGGAGCTACGGGGAGCACAGTATTTGAGAGATACCGAGTATGGGTATTTCCACCAAAAATTTTAAATAACCCATAGGTCTCCTGTGAGATCCTGGAGGCTCCCAGGGCACATCAGCCCACAGTTTGGGAAATGCAGCACTCTGCTAATCTTTGTCTGTAAAGTGGAATTGTCTATTTGTATTTAATATAATTGTTGATGTATTTAGGATTAAATCTATCTAATCTACTATTTGATTTTTATTTGTCCTTCACTTCCTATGTTCTTTATTCTCTTCTGTTTTGCCTTCATTTTTATTATGAATTGTATTTATTATGGATGTCTTCCTGGAAACCTATAAACTCCCAAGACTGAAACAGGAAGAAACTGACAACCTGAATAAACCAATAGCCAATAACAAGATTGAAGCAGTGATCAAAAACCTCCCAAAAAACAAGAGTCCAGGGCCTGATGGATTCCTTGGGGAATTCTACCAAACATTCAAAGAAGAAATAATACCTATTCTTCGGAAGCTGTTTCGAAAAATAGAAACAGAAGGAAAGCTTCCAGACTCATTCTATGAGGCCAGCATTACCTTAATCCCCAAACCAGGCAAAGACCCCATCAAAAAGGAGAATTTCAAACTGATATCCCTGATGAATATGGATTCCAAAATCCTCAACAAAAATCCTAGCTAATAGGATCCAACAATACATCAAAAGTTTCATCCACCACGACCAAGTGGGATTTATCCCCGGGATGCAAGGGTGGTTCAACATTCACAAAGAAATCAGTGTGATAGAACACATTAATAAGAGGAGCGAGAAGAATCATATGGTCCTCTCAATTGATGCAGAAAAAGCATTTGACAAAATACAGCATCCTTTCCTGATTAGAACTCTTCAGAGTATAGGGACAGAGGGAACATTCTTCAAGTTCATAAAATCCATCTATGAAAAACCCACAGCAAATATCATCCTCAATGGGGAAAAGATGAGAGCATGTCCCTTAAGATCATGAATATGACAAGGATGTCCACCCTCGCCACTATTGTTCAACATAGTACTAGAAGTCCTAGCAACAGCAGTCAGACAACAAAAAGAAATAAGAAGTATTCAAATTGGCAAAGAAGAAGTCAAACTCTCTCTTTTCGCAGGTGACATGATACTTTATGTGGAAACCCCGAAAGAGTCCACCCCCAAATTCCTAGAACTCATACAGCAATTCAGTAATTTGGCAGTATACAAGATCAATGCACAGAAATCAGTTGCTTTCTTACACACTAAAAATGCAACTGTAGAAATTAGAGAAACGATTCCATTTACAATAGCACCAAAAACCATAAGATACCTCGGAATAAACCTAACCAAAGAGGTAAAGGATCTATACTCTAGGAACTACAGAACACTCATGAAAGAAATTGAAGAAGACACAAAAAGATGGAAAAACATTCCATGCTCATGGATCGGAAGAATAAACACTGTTAAAATCTATACCTTCAATGCCATCCAGATCAAAATTCTAATGACGTTTTTCAAAGTGCTGAAACAAACAATCCTAAAATTTGTATGGAATCAGAAAAGACCCCGAATCGCCAAGGAAATGTTGAAAAAGAAAAACAAAGCTGGGTGCATCAAGTTGCCCGATTTCAAGCTATATTACAAAGCAGTGATCACCAAGACAGCATGGTAGTGGCACAAAAACAGACATATAGACCAATGGAAGAGAATAGAGAGCCTATATATGGACCACCAACTCTATGGTCAAATAATCTTCGACAAAGCAGGAAAAAATATGCAATGGAAAAAAGACAGTCTTTTCAATAAATGGTGCTGGGAAAATTGGACAGCCATGTGCTGAAGAATGAAACTCGACCATTCTCTAACACCCTACACAAAGATAAACTCAAAATGGATGAAAGACCTCAATGTGAGACAGGAATCCATCAAAATTCTAGAGGAAAACATAGGCAATAACCTCTTTGACATCGGCCACAGCAACTTCTTTCAAGATATATCTCCAAAGGCTAGTGAAACAAAAACAAAAATGAACTTTTGGGACTTCATCAAGATAAAAACTTCTGCACAGCAAAGGAAACAGTCAACAAAACAAAGAGGCAACCCACAGAATGGGAGAATATATTTGCAAATGACGTTACAGATAAAGCGCTGATATCCAAGATCTATAAAGAACTTCTCAAACCCAAAAAACAAATAATCAAGTCAAAAAATGGGCAGAAGACATGAACAGTCACTTCTCCAAAGAAGACAGACAAATGGCCAACAGACACATGAAAAAATGTTCATCATCATTAGTCATCAAGGAAATTCAAATCAAAACCACATTGAGATACCACCTTATACCAGTTAGAATGGCAAAAATTGACAGGGCAAGAAACAAAAAATGTTGGAGAGGTTGTGGAGAAAGGGGACCCCTCTTACACTGTTGGTGGGAATGCAAGTTGGTACAGCTACTTTGGATAACAGTGTGAAGTTTGCCTCAGAAAATTAGAAATAGAGCTACCCTATGGCCCAACAATTGCACTCCTGGGTATTTACCCCAAAGACACAGATGTAGTGAAAAGAAGGGCCATATGCACCCCAATGTTCATAGCAGCAATGTCCACAATAGCCAAACTGTGGGAAGAGCCGAGATGCCCTTCAACAGATGAATGGATAAAGAAGATGTGGTCCATATATACAATGGAATATTACTCAGCCATCAGAAAGGATGAATACCCAACTTTTATACCAACATGGATGGGACTGGAGGAGATGATGCTAAGTGAAATAAGTCAAGCAGAGAAAGTCAATTATCACATGGTTTCACTTATTTGTGGAACGTAAGGAATAGCACGGAGGACATTAGGAGAAGGAAGGGAGAAATGAAGGAGGGGAAATCGGAGGGAGAGATGAACCATGAGAGACTATGGACTCTGGGAAACAAACTGATGGTTTTAGGGGGTAGGGGGGTAGGGGGTTGGGTTAGCCCAGTGATGGGTATTAAGGAGGGCACGTACTGCATGGAGCACTGGGTGTTATATGAAAACAATGAATCGTGGATCACTACATCAAAAACTAATGATGTATTGTATGGTGACTAACATAACATAATAAAATAAAATTTAAAAAAAAGTAACATGCGTCCTTACCATGTTAATGTGCAATGAACAATTATCATTCCCCAGCAATGCAAGAACCACAGAAAATGCTAACTCCGTTTACTTCCTTCCTGTCCTTTGTTCTATCATGATTCTGTCTTTAAATTCTACATATATTTTATGCTCCCGTTAGTCACATTCAATGTACACACTGCCGGCTGCTTACTGGGCTACAGACATTTGCTACTAAGCTGGACCCTAATGGTAATAGATTCCCTCAGCAGGCTCAGCTAAGAGTTTGAAAATCTGTAGAAATATGTGGTTGCCTAAACAAGGAGCTCGAAAAGACCTCCATGCCCTAATCCCTGGAGCCTGTGAATGTTACCTAATATGGCACCAGGACTCTGCAGATGTGATTAAGAATCTTGTGATGGGACGATTATCCTGGATTATCTGGATGGGCCCTAAATGTAATCACAATGGTCCTTAAAAGAGGGATGCAAAGGATCAATGACAGAAGAAGGAGATTTGAAGATGCTCCAGGGCTGGTTTTGAAGGTAGAGAAAGGCAGCCATGAGCCAAAGGATGCAGGCAGCCTCTGGAAGAGAAAAGAGCAGGGAAACCTAATCTCCCTTGGAGCCTCCAGAAGAGACACAGCCCTACAGACCTACCTGAGACTTTGACCTCCAGAACTGTAAGAGAATACATTTCTGTTGTTGTAAGCAGTTAAGTTTGTGGTAATTTGTTACAGCAGCAATAAGAAACTAGTACAAAAGGTAAGAGTGTATAGTGTTAGAAACTGGATTCATAGAGATGGGGACTTGAACCTACTGTCTTCTACCTACTAACTGTGAGGTAAAAGTAAAAAACGTAAATTGGGACAATAGCCTAAATAGAAAGGAACATATGAGCCTTCACTACAGAAAGCTTGATCTGGTTTTCTTTTCCTCCTTCATTCCCCATCCCTCAAATTATAAGAAATATGTTAATCTGAACTCCATAAACTCAAGGCCTACCATAGTTTACTTAAAGAAACACTTCTGCATAGCTTTATGATATATTAAATACAATAGTTGAAAAATATTTAAAGTATACAGTTTGATGAACTTGACATATGTGTGCACCATGAAACCATTACCACAGTCAAGATAACAAACATTTCCATCACACCCCCAATAGTTTCCTCATTTTGCTTTATAATCCCTCTGTCTCTCTACCCTTTTCTCTAGGCGATCTCTGACCTGCTTCCTCTTAATACAGATTGATTTGACCTTCTAGAATTTCATATAAACCACCTCACTTGGTTTGTACTTTTCTTCCCTTTTGCTGGTCTAGCTTTTACACAGAATAATTATTTTGAGATTCATCCAGGTTGTTGCATATATAAAAAATTATTTCTTTTTTTCCTGGGTGATACTCAGTTGTACAAATACCCCTTAATTTAGTTTGCCTATTTGGCTGTTGAATGTCATTTGGATTGTTTCCAGTTGTTGGCTAATACAAATAAAACCACTATGAAAATCCATGCCTGTGTCTCTGTGTGGTCAGATGTTTCATTTCTCTTGAGTCAATAACTAAGAGTAAAATGCTCAGTCCTGTGATACATTTGTGTTTAGCGCTTTAAGAAACTGCCAAACTGCTGTCCAAAGTGGTTCCAGGGCGGTGATTCCAGTTACTTCCTCTTATTGCCAACACTTGGTATGGTCAATTTTTAACATTTTAGCTATTCTAATGCGTGTATATTGTCATCTCATTGTGGTTTTTGTCTTGGGTGACACAGTCCACTTGGAAATACTCCTGATTCAAACTTTCCACACAAGTCAGATGGATTTATTCTGTGCTAGAAGCACAATTTACTTATTTTTATTTCCACGTGCTTGTTCAAACATAAGCCATCAACCTGGAGTACACTCTGCTCTCCATTCTGCCTATTCTACTCTTTTATGAAAAGATCTGCAAGTGTTTTATTTAAACACCTCTATCAGTTAAAGAAAAAAAGAGCATGCACTTTCAAAAATTTTATATATGTATATTTAATGTTTAAAAATCTTTATATATTCATAATATTAGTATACTATATATTATATTTGGTATAGTACATAATCTAATTTAATCTATAATATGTATTCTAATATATAATTTGGTATGTTATATATAACATATTAATTTATTATATTACAATATATATTATATAATGTATTTTACAGATTAATGTATATTATAAATTATAAACCACATAAACTATACCAACTTAATACTATATATTAAATTATATTTTTATTATATAGCCTATAAAGCTTTTATATATAATATATAATGCAATTATATATGTTAATTTTATAACAAATTGTAACATGTCATTTCATCTAAATAAATATAATGTAATGTATACATATAACATATTATGTATAGTAAAATATTAAATATATTTAAATATCTATATTTAGTAATTTTGTATTTATAAACACATGTAATATCATGTATTATATATAAACAGAAATTTTAAAAATATGAGAGATAAAATAAACATTTCAAATGCTTTGCTAATCATGATGATTTAATATGTTCATTTATTAACATCTACAAGGACAAAATAGTCACAATGAGTTTCCCTGTTCATAATAGTGGATGTAAAGCTATCATTGCAACTAGTCTTGATATTTTCTTTTTTTTTTATTTATTTATTTGAGAGAGAGAGAATGAGAGATAGAGAGCATGAGAGGGAAGAGGGTCAGAGGGAGAAGCAGACTCCCTGCTGAGCAGGGAGCCCGACACGGGACTCGATCCCGAGACTCCAGGATCCTGACCTGAGCCGAAGGCAGTCGCTCAACCAACTGAGCCACCCAGGCACCCTAGTCTTGATATTTTCTGAATTGTTTTGCTTTTGCCTTGGGTCACTTGTGATTAGACTGACAATGTTTCTTCCTCTTCATGTCTCTGACAAAGAGCCTGGATGTGTGTGGATGCCTGTGTGTGTGTGTGGAAGGTGTTATCAGCTATGCCTTTTTCTCCTTTGCTTAACTTGGCCTTATTAGAATTATCTTCATTCTGTTTCTATGCAGAAAAACTTTGAAGTTAGTTGTCCAATCATAAAGGTTATGTTAGATAAAACCAGGTAATATAAACCATAAATCTGCTCATCTGAGCATTATGTGAACCGAAATAGGTGGCAAATCACAGAAAGCCCCTGGCCTTTCCCTTTCTCCCTTGCATTTTTATACAGCTGGGCAACAGAGTGGATCTCACCCAAGGACCAGGTGAGGGCGCCAGAGGCTGCCCTATATTCTACACGGTCCTAGTTGGCTTAAGAAGCCAATTTGTGTAAAATAACTACCGCTGTGAATCAGCCTTCCCAATCATTTCTGGATTCACTCCTTAAGCGTTGCTAAATCCATGCTCCTTCCCACTCAGCCTTCTCTGATCACTGAAGCTGAGATGTCCCCCTTTTCAGTCATGTGGTGGCCTTTATACTCTCTTGAGGGAACCTCCTACTCATGGTTTCATAGATCTTCGTGGGGATTTTCAGGTTTCGAAACACTGTCACATACACTACCTCATTTGCTTTGCACAGTAATCCTCTCAGATTGCCGGATGTCAATTATGTTCATTTTATACACAGGGACACCGAAACTCAGGGAATTTATTGACTTGCTGGGCCAGAGGCCCATAGCTACTAAGTAGCAGAGGCTGAAAGAAACCAGAACCCTGACCTCCCAATTAAGGAGATTTCACAAAACCCCACCACCCAACTTCCATATGCATGTACCTTGAAGACACGGCTCTCTCATAAAGTCCAAAGTTGGTCAACACTCTGTCAGCACTTTCTGTGTCTGCATTCCTTTGGCAAGTAAATTACTAGATAGTTTAGCTGTTTCACATTTTGAACTTATTATGATAACCTTAGTAAACATATATTTTTTGCAATTAAGAAGAGGACCAGATACTCAAGATGTCCACAAACATTTCTAAGCATTGACAACAGATTGCTTAATTTACTTGGCATGCCTCTCTTCTGAAAATAAAACTTTAGGTTTTATCACGTTTCTTCTCCTGACAGGTTACTTTACAATGTCTAAGGAGATAAAATATTAATTACTTATTTAAAAAGATTTTATTTATTTACTTGTCAGAGAGAGAAAAAGAGAGACTGAACAAGCAGGGGGAATGGCAGGCAGAGGGAGAAGTAGGAGCAAGGAGCCGGATGCAGGACTCGATCCCAGGACTCTGTGATCATGACCTGAGCAGAAGGCAGACGCTTAATAACAACTTTTGTGGAAACTTGGTTTTTCCTTGTTCCTTCCTCTCTTAGAACAGAAGGCACAATCAAATAATGAATTTGTAATGTCTAGTGACAGTGAAGAACAAAATCAGTTGTCAAGAAGAGGCCGGACAAAAACAGTTAAGACCGTCATTTCAACTAAGATGTTACCAATGAGTCCAAGAAACTAAGAAGACTTCTTGGAAGACCAAAAATAAGAGAAGGATTCTAAATGAAGATGTTCACCTATTTCAAAGGAAGGAAGGAAGGGAAGATGTCACCACCAAATTTCCAAATAGTTGTAATGGGCGTTATTTTGTACTCACCACAAGACGAAAATGCCACACTGTGTAAACATCTGTACATTTCCTTCTGTCTGCAGCTAGTTACAGCGAGGGCTCCGGAGCTTCCCTGGCCCTTCTAACCCCAAGTGCCGCCATGGGAGTTGTGTCAATGAAGGCTTTCAGTAAGTGGCTGTGGTGGTTTGGGGTGTGAATGGGGTGAATTCAGTATGATGCAGGGCAGTTTAAGGTGAGAACTGCACCCCCAGGACAGCTTGTCCAAACACCCTGGTGAACCAAGTGCACAGGTAACGGCTGAGGGATAGAACTTGATTAAGTGACAGGTTCTGTGTTAGACCACGACACGCTTTATGCCATTCAAGTAACAACACCACGAGGTAGAAATCAGTGTTTCCACCGCACAGAAGAGGAAACAGACTCGGACAGCTGTAGTAACTTCCCTTGCACTTACGAACTTGCTGAGATTAGAACCACGATGAATCATGGAACACTACATCAAAAACTAATGATGCAATGTATGGTGGTTAACAACAATAAAAAATTAAAAAAAAAAAAAAGAACCCAAGTTAGTCGCATTTCCCACTACCCTTTCTTTCGCTGGGATCAGCACTAGCTCTGCTCCAGCGGGTCTTTGTTAACACACAAAAGCGGGTATTTCCAGCGGCACCCGCCGAGCACCTGCGCGCTTCCGGCGCGGGCACCACACAAGCCCCTGGCAGAGGGCAACTCCACGCTCACCCAGAAGCCACCAGGGTCCCGGCACAAGCGCGGATCCCAGAGCCCACCTGCCTTCTCGCCCCGAAAGGCCAGCCCCGCGTCTCACCCCAGGCGTCCCGCAGCGCGAGCAGCACCAGAACGGCCCGGAGGGTTCCTCCGGAGCAGGAAATGGGGGGCGCCGGCGGCCGGAGAGGTTGCGGGCTCCTCCGAGAAGACGCTCCCATCCTTCCCAGGCACCTCGAGTAAGCAGGTGCGACCTCGAAGGAAAGCGCAGGGAACGAGGCGAAGAGGTGAGAGAGACAAAGCACTCTTCACCGGAGTTTGGGGAGCGCGGCGGGGAGGCCGGGACGGAAGCCTTTGACTGCAGCTTCCCCTTAATAGGCGAGGTCTTGTTTACTCCTAATTTGCATTGTTTCCAGCGAATCTGGCTCCCACCGACCACCTTAGGGACCCGTCTACAGGAGCTAAATTTGGCGATGCTTCGTCTCCTTGATATAGTCCGCGCGGAGGACGGGCGGCTCGGGATAAAGGCGGTGGATTCTTCCAGCTCAGCTTTCAAACGCCCCTGCGTGACTTTTCCCCTTTGCAGGAATCCGCGTGGGTAGGTCAGCGAACGAAATGCCTGCTTTCTGCGTTAAAGCCACAATTCTGCGTTAAAGCTACAATTCAGTGTATAGAAGATATGAAGAACCAATTCCTTTATATTGAATTGAGATATACCAAGCCATTGGGGAAAAAAAATTTAAAACAGAGTGACTTAATCAGATTTCCATTTTAAAAATAGAGTTGTCTGTACTACGGGGAGACTGGATTGGAATAAGGCAACAGTGAATGGGGCTGACCAGCAAAGAGATTTTGCCATCATCCAGGTGAGATTTGATGGTGGCTTTGACTGGAGATTAAGTGGACAATTAAGAAGTCGGAGACAGAATGAACAAAACTTATTCATGCATTGGATTTTGGTTACTTCCTTTCTTAAAGTTAGTGGTGAGGAAAAGAAAGGAAGCAGTAGTGAGCCTCGGGATTCAAAATGAATGATGGTGCTATTTACTGAAATAAAAAAATTTGGAGCAGGGGGTTAAGCATTCAAGGATGAGAGAAATGGGGGTGTGTGTGGTAGGCTGAATAATGGCCCCCGAAGATGTCCACATCCTAATTCCCAGGCCAGTGACTATGTTATCTTCCGTGGCAACAGGGGTTTTGTAGATGTGATTAAATTAAGGATTTTGAGATGGGAGATGATCCTGGATTATCTGGGTGGGCAGTGTAATCAGAGAGGGCCTTATGGAGGGAGGCACTAGATCAGAGTGGGAGAAGGTAGTAACTGAAGGTGAGATTGGGGACTTGCTGCCACGAGCCAAGGAATGACAGCCACCTCTACAAGCTGGAAGAGGCAAGGGACAGATTCTCCCTGGGGCCTTCAGAATGAACCAGTCCTGCCAATACCTCGGTTTTAGCCCTGTAAGATTCATTTTGGACTTGTGACCTCCAGGCTTGTAAAAGAATAAATCTGAGTCATTTTTGGCTACAAGGTAACTTGTTACAATAAGAAACATATGAGAGAGAGAGAGGGTCACTTGAGCAAGGGAGAGTGTCAAAGGACTTTTTTTTTTTTTTTAACTGAGAAAGACTTGGGCATGAGACAGGTGGAGATTTAGTGAGAGCTAGGGAGGTATGGGAATATTCTAGGAAAAGATTGGGAATATAGTTTGTTGATTATGAAACTGGACTTCCAGAAAAGTCAAACAATAGGCCCTTTGAAAAGGAAATGGGTGGAAGAGAGTCAAAATCTCAGGAACTGTTAAGTGAGAACATGTAGAATAAATGATAGGAAGATCAGGATGGAAACATTTGGATGTGGTTCATGGATTTTTAATATTTTTGTGTATGGTGGACCCCTTTGCTCCTTTGGTCAAGCCTATGGACCCCTTCTCAGAATTAATTTGTTAATGCATAAAATAGAGTACCTAGGATCACAAAGGAAACGGCTTATACTGAAATCTAGTTCTAGCCATGAACCTTTGGAGGTCTGTGGCCCCTAAGATAAGGACCCCAGATTTAAAAATTAGATAAAACCAGAGTCAGTTGTGTGTAAACAGCAAGAGTTGTAATGAGCTGTGTGGAGAGGAGTAATTGCAAATGTCACATGCTGTAGAGAGGAGAGGAAGGGAAGGGGCGGGAAGGTATCATAACAGATATTTTAGTAAACGTGTGAGCCCTTTTCTCCTCCGTGCATAGCTATGATTCATGGTGGGGAAAAGATGCTCAAGGTGGAGAACTACTCTCCCTCTCCTCAGTGCAGCTTCATTAATGGAGACCACAATCCAGCAAACCTCTACCACTCAGCGTGTATAGCCTCAGCTCACACAAACATTCTAGAATATGGTTTTACTTCATTTGTCCCTCATACTCAGGTCTCAGCTCCTATCCTCACTAGTAAAGAAAGGGCAGTGCTCCAAAGGCCAGGTATGTTTCTCATTTTCCAGTAGTTTCCACGAGCCTCTCTCACAAGACTCTGTTGCAAGAAATATTTACTTTGATCATATCCCTTACCACATCTCTTTAATTTATCCAATACCA